GGGGATGTCCGACTGCCAGTTTAGGCCCAATTCCAGGGATTGGGCCTAAACTGGCGGTCGGACATCCCCCGAGGGGTCCCAGATTGGGGATGTTGCAGGCTGGGCTGAGGAAACCTCCCCGACCCCCCGCACGAATTTCATGCACCAGGCCTCTAGTGTATGCATGAATTTCATGCACCAAGCCTCTAGTGTATATATAACATACAAACTATGTGTTAATTGACTGCTTATGTTATTGGTAAGGCTTCTAGTCAACAGTAGCCTATTAATAGTTAAGTTTTGGAGGAGTCAGAAGTTATATATGAATTTTCAACTGTGCAGGGGGATCAGTCTCCTAATCCCACATTGTTCAAGGTTCAACTGTACAGTGTTTGGCTTTGCATGAGTGTATTTATATTCTTACGTTACCCAAGTGAAATTATGATTTACTTCACAAGATGTATACATCTCCTTCTATTTCTTTTGTGACTCAAAAGAGATCTATCCATGTTGCTCTTTGAACACCTGGCTCATTATTTCTGCATGTAGAGTTCTCCAGGCTGTGGACATCCTGCTTATCCAGTCCCCCAGTGATAGACACATGGGATGCTTCCAATTCCCCACTACATGCAGTGAACACCCTACCGTGTATTTCCTTACCAACACTGGCAGGAAAATCTCTAAGTGAAATTAAAGCATGACAATGTCTCAGGTTCTGACAGGTGGCTTTCCAGGAATCCTGCACAAGTTACATTTTCCCACAGTTCATTGCATGACAAAGGCTGCCTTCTTGCCAATATAAATATACGATTTGCTAATCTATGATGTGCCAAGACTTGATACAATCAAACTTGCTAAAGTGTGTTAATCTGATGGGTGTAAAATGTTCTTTCATTGCAGTTCTCCCTTGCTTATCTCTAGATCTTGGTAAAGTTGCTCCTTTATTCATATACTTAGTAAAAAGAAATCATTTCCTAAGTGTCTATAAAGTACCAGAGGAAACCGAAGGTACAAGTACAATTTTATGAGTGCAACTTATGGTATGACCAGAATTTTTTATATGATTATGGAAATATTTTTTTTTAAATATATTCTTATTGATTTCAGAGAAGAAGGGGGAGAGAGAGAGAGAGAGAGAGAGAGAGAGAGAGAGAGAGAGACCTACAACCCAGGCATGTGCCCTGACCAGAATGGAACCATGATCTCCTGGTTCATAGGTCGATACTCAACCACTGAGCCACTATGGCAGGGCTGAAATATTTATTTTAAATGACTGGGAGTGCTATGTACTTGAGATGTCAGAATTGCAATTAGCATCCTTTCATTAAATTCCCAATGTCTAATCTTGTTTTCTCCTACTTCGTTTGGGCTTTGATCCTCCCGTGTCATAATGGGTGCTGAGCTTATCTCTGGCTCTTCAGAACCTCTGAGGACACAGAAGGAAGCTTGGAAATATGAGGCATTTATTAAAAATAATGTGGTTTGTTGTTGTTTTCCTGGGGTGATAAAAATACAAACACTTTTAGTAGAATAATGTCCTCAGTGCTACCTTTCCAGGTGACTTTCTCTCCAGTTCTCGCTAATGTTGCCTGACTGTAACCAGCCAGGGAGCTGCTTGGGCAGGGAGGGCAGACAGCTTTCATCGCATGTGTCAGCTTTGACCTATTGGCAGTAACAGCCTGGAATGCAATGTGAGAGACAGAACAGAGATTGATGCTCCCTTCTGCTCTTCCTTAACCTGCTGGCACCTGCATTTCACTGGGGAAGGATGGAGAAGACAGGGGTGTCTCTCTTAAAGACACTCCCTTATGATCTTATGACTCCCTTAGAAAATCTTCTCCAGCTAACCTGTTTTGTGGCTTTCTGTAGCCACTAGTTAACTTGATCAATTTTGGAACCTATGTTTCCAAGATAATTCTAAGGAAAAACAACCCAGAATTTATACTTGTCATATATATTACAAAATTCAGAGGCATTAAAATAATGCTCCATCATTTTTTCAAAATTCTGGTTCCAAGTATTGTGTTTCCTCTGCTGTTGTTTAGTCTTTGGACGTCATCACCTATCAGAAACATGCCCCTAAACAGCAGGTAGACTTGCCACACGTTCTGGTGTTCTCTCCCTAAAGTCCTCCTCTCGTTCCACAATGTAGGTCGTAGAGAAGAGCGCCGATCCTGAAATGAACCTGCTGTTCTACCTGAGGAAAGTCCGTATCCTTATGTTTCGCTGTAATCCGTCTGGATTGGGTGGTAAACAGTGAGCATGTTAAGACTTCTGAAGAAAGTCGCCTTGTATTTGTTCTGGGTCAATAACCTGGTGTCCAATTTGTAGCGTCTAGTTGGAGTTCAGAGAATGCATCCAGAGGTGATAGATGTGTACTTTATTTGTTGTATTTTTCATCTGAGCACACAACCAAAAGACCCCTCCAGGGAACCACAAGGGTCCACTGGGAACAGCTTTGGAAAATAATTTTATGACTTCTGAGGCCCATGGTCACCCGGATGG